GGACAGCTTGAGGCTCTGTCTCAAAAAAAAAAAAAAAAAAGTAATACATATTTATTGCAAAAAATGTTCAGGAAACACAGAAAAAAAGAAAAGGTACTCATAAACCTAGCACCCCAAAATAAACACATTTAGCATCCGGGTGTATCTCCTTTCAATTTTTTTTACATATATATGTCGCCAGTTTCCCAAACTCTATTCTATGAAACAATAGTTCTGTTTTAATAAATGTCATAAAACAGTAGGGTTATATGGTCAGTAATGCTTGCGAGATGCTGAATTAAACAAATTTAAGCATGTTTCTTTGTTCCAGGACTTGTAAGAATTTTTAACAGGCTAATATGAATCTCTACAAGGGGCATAATATAGAGAACTTTCCAAACTAATTTAAAACGATATTTTTTAAAACGTGGACATGAGTGGTTTCACCATCTCCCCATATAAATAATTATTTAAGGTGTTTCTATGTATTCACTATTATAAGTGTAATACAGGTAATAGTGTTAAAATTATTAATTTGCTTTTCTCTTTTGCTGTTCTGAGTTTGAAATTGTTGGGATTCAGGCAGTTGTCTGTTTCTCAGTTCTTGGTATGCTCTTGGTGGAAGATGACCAGGCCCACCAAAAAAGCAAGGCAAGTGTGAAACAAAGTTTACTGAGGAAGAGCAACGTACAGGTTTACAGAGCAAGATGTGCTCCCCATGGCCAACGAACAGGTTCCCTTTGCCATGACAAAAAGCCTCTGGTAATGGCCCAGTTCTGTTATACTGGCCGGTATGGCCCCTCTTCATGGTTCAGGAGTTACCATGGAACCAGTTTGATGGACAGTTAACGACACGGTAACTGAGTCTCTTTCCAAATCCTCTTGTGCCTGGGTTGTCTAGCCTGTTAAGTCTTTCTCTACCTCCTGGAATAAACATTAAGTCTCCACCTTCCATGGGTTAAAACTCATTAAGTAAAGAATAGACTAGTTCTTGTTAGTGCCCCCTCTGCCTTCAATGGGTCTAACTACTCTTAAGTAGACAGGATTTTCTCTACCTCCAATGGATCTGGACATTCGTTAAGCAATGAATAGGACTTGCAGTGTTTCTTCTGGTTCTGTGAAATGGTTCTTCCAAGTTACAGAAGATTTACAGCAGATTAACTTGCAGAAGGCCTCTAGCAGATGACCTTTGATCTCTTGCACCACATCCCAAGTTACTGAGCTATGACCAGGCCACCTCCTGAGCTGTGTTTCTGCCACACCATTTTCCATTTTGGGTGGCAGCCCACTTAATAAATCACTGCTCTTAACTTTACTTGGCCTGGTTCCTTGTGGCACCTTTCTACCATCTAACAAATGGTGCTGAAACCTGGGAAGGAGGCAGTCCTAGGACCACCCTGGACCCTTGCTGCAGCCCCCTTAACAACCAACACTGCACACTAACTCGCTAAGACTCAGTGAGTTGGAGAAAGGCCCTTCTTCAGGAGTCTTGTTTATCCATCTGCCTGCCTGTCTTTTCTGCTGCAAACCCTAGTGCTAGGTCAAGACTATTCCCTGGATCTGGGACACGGGTTCCTATCTCCACAGTGCCCAGCTAATTTTTTTTATTTTTATTTTTAGTAGAGGTGGAGTTGAACTCTTTCACAGGCTGGTCTCAAACTCCTTAGTTTAAGCAATCCACTTGCCTCTGCCTCCCAGAGTGCTGGGATTACAGGCACAAGTCACCACGCTCAGCCTAATTTTTAACTTATTATTCATTTATTTATTTATTTTACTCTGTTAAACAAAGATTCAGAATGAAAGTGTACTTTGTCTAAGTCTACCCACCCGTGTTGCTTTTTGCTTATAATTTGCATGGAATATGGTGAGAGTAAATATTACTTGTTCTTACCACGTAAAAAAAATAGTAACTACGTGAAGTGGTCCATGCATTAACTAACTTGATTGTGGTAATTATTTCACACTATATATGTATATCAATCTATTCTATTCGTTAAATATATACAATTTTATTTGTCAGTTATACCTCAATAAATCTGTGAAGAAAAATTTAAGAAGACTAGGAGTGGTCAGCTATGTCAGGACCTCAATGGAGGACATGATAGAGGCTTAAAGGAACTGCCGCCAGTTGGGAGCTACTGAAAACATTGTTCAAATGAAAAGATGAAGCGATGTGTTAGAGACTAACAGGGAACAAGACCAGTGGAACAACAGCTATTCCTGTGATACCAGCAGGTGCCAGTTCAAACAAGCTGAAGTGAAGGGGGACAATTTCTCCCCATAGCATTGTATTAGCCACACATCCTTTATCCCATCCCCCCAGATGTTAGGAGCAGATTGTCATTCTTACTAGAGACAATCTGCAGTGACTGTTGATCAGTTTACAGTAAGCTTTAAATCAGATTTCTATTTACTTAAATTCTTTTTCACTAAACGGCAGGTAGTAGGTTAGGAGGGCAGTCAAAAGCTATATATAATAAAACAGAAGAAAAACTGCAAACTTCTGAGTTTTGGTGTTAGTTTCCTTTAGGACCCTGCTACTCAAACAGCAATTTGATGAGCATCCTTATACACAGCTTCATCATCTTTATATTCATGTCCAAGTTCTTCCTTGCTATAAATTACTGAATGTGGAATTGTGGGGCTATAAGCTATGAACATTTTTGATATTGTTTCACATAATGGGTGTACCAATTTACATTCTGGGCTCATAGCCTTTCCTCTTCTGTTCTTAACATTGGGTTATCTCCTTGGTTTTCTGTATATATTTCAGAATTATGTTTTGCAATGTATTACTTAATTTTTGCCTTTATTTTAAAAAATTCTTGAAGTGTCCCTCTGCTTTGTAGACCCAGAGTTTTTAAGCTTCTTTTTTAAAGTTTAATATACACACAGAAAAGAGCACAGGTCATAGAATTACCACAAAGTGAACAAGTTCCTCCTTGTACTCCCCCTCCAGATGGACAGCCCTTCCTAACCCCCAAAGTAAACCCAATCCTGTCTTCTAACACCATAACCTTGCATGTTTTTAAATTTTATAAAAACTAAGCCATGTATATGTATTCCTCATGTTCTGAGATTCATTCATGTTGATGCTTATAGTTGTAATTAGCCCATTTCACTCATTTCCCATAATATCCCATCATATGAAGAAAGCTCTACTTATTTAGACTGTTAACTATAGGACATTTGTATTGTTTCTGCTTCTTTCTGTTCTAAATAAATCTTTCATAAATATTCCTGTACATGTCTCATAGTGTACACATGCAAATTTCTATAAGGCGCATACCCTATGATTAAATACCTGGGTCAAAGGGCAAGCAAATGTTCCACTTTGTGATGCAATGCCAGCTTCCCAAAGCCACTGCACCAATGTACACACACCTACTAGTAGTTATGAATGTTCCCATTGTCCCATTTCCTTGATAACATGCAATATCATCAACCTTTCAATTTTTTGTTAAGCTGGTGAATGAGAAATCATGCCCCATTGTTTTCTTAGGTTATATTTCCCTAATAACTGATAAGATTAAAGACATTTTCATGTGCTTGTAGATCATTTGTCTTTCTCTTCTATGAAATTCCTATTGATGGATTTTGCCCATTTTTCTAATTAGAAGTTTTGCTTATTCATCAATAGACATCTTCATAGATTTTATATACTAATCTTTTGTAGGCTATGTACGTGAAAAATACTTTATCCCAGTTTGAAGATTGTATTTTCACTCTTCATATGGTGTATTTTGATGAATGGAAGTGCTTATTTTTTTTGAGATAGAGTCTCACTTTGTTACCCTCAGTAGAGTGCCATGATGTCATAGCTCACAGCAACCTCCAACTCTTGGGCTCAAGTGATTCTCTTGTCTCAGCCTCTCAAGTGGCTGGGACTATAGGCACCCTCCACAACGCCTAGCTATTTGTAGAGACGTGGATTCTCGCTCTTGCTCAGGCTGGTCTTGAACCTGTGAGCTCAGGGCAATCCACTCCCTTTGGCCTCCCAGAGTGCTAGGATGACAGGCATGAGCCACTGCGCCTGGCTTGGAAGTGCTTATTTTGATGCAGTCAAATTTGGCAATCATTTCCTCCATATAATTATTTTAGTGTTTTATTTTCCTAAATAGAATAAAAAATAAATAAAAAAAAAAAAGAAATCCTTTTCCACCCCGAAGTCATAAAGTAATTATCCTATATTGTCTTCCAAAAGTTTTTATAGTTTTGCCTTTTATGTTTGAGTCCTTATGCTACTTGGTATTTAATTTTTGTGTGGTGTAAGGTAGAGTCCACTTTCTTTTTTTATATCGCAAAAAGTTATAATTTTCCACTCATGAACTTTGAACTGAACCTCTGTACCTAAAGGCAGTTCTAGGAACTGAGAAAAGCAGATAGTTGCAATAAATTCCAAGAAGCAATAAATTCCTAGGAGGAAAACCAGATTCTGCACAATGACCACCTTGAACTGGATGGAGCTGGCCAAACATAAAAAGGCACGATAATGTTGAAAAAAAGACAAGTTGTATGACCATCCAGCCTCTGAGTCAGCTGACTTGCTTTCCCAGTACTTTTCCACTCGGAGCTTTGCCTTAATAAAACTAACTAAATTTTGCTCAAGGAGTCACTCTTTCTTTGGTTCTTCTTCCTACTACGGTAGCTTAGATAAAGTGCTTACTTTCTACCTTTTATCTAGTGTTAGTGTTTGTTTTGTCATTATAAATACCCAATGTGCCAGAACCACAGAGTGAAAATCTGTCCTTTTCCTGGTCACCTCAAACTCTTGGGCTCATGCGATCCTCTTGCCTCAGCCTCCCAAGTAGGTGGGACTACAGCCCCCTGCCACAACGCCCAGCTAGTTTTTCTATTTTTATTGGAGTCGGGGGTCTCGCTCTTACTCAGGCTAGTCTCCAACTCGTGAGCTCAAGCCAGCCACCTCCTCGGGCTCCCAGAGTGCTAGGATTACAGATGTGAGCCACCACGCCAGACCTATGGTGTCTTTTGATACATAAATTTCTCAGTAAATATCACACTCGGCATTATTCCATTTAATTGTCAATGGTTTATGTGCATTGTTTAAGAAATCTTTATCCCAATCTAAAAGTTCTTCGCCTGTCTTTTCTGTCAAGGGCTTCGAAGGTGTTTTTGAGATTTAAGTCCTTAATCCATCTGGAATAGATTCTTATATTTTTAATATCACATGAAGGAGGTTTCCGGTTTCAGCTTTTCCAATATAAATAATCACTTTGAAGAATCAGTTAATGAAAAACCCCTCTTAACTTACCTAACCTGCCACTTCTGCCACTCGTACCATGTACCACAGCTCTATACATGCACAGGTGTGTTTCTGGGTTGTCTATTCTATGTCATTGTGCAATTAGTCCATTCCTGAACCGATATCACTCTCTTAATTCCTCTCTTTTGGGCCCCTCCCCCTCTTCCCTGCATCCCTCCTTGTAGCGCTCTCTCTTCTCCCTCCCCCTTGTTCCTTTAGCGTGATCTTGGGGAAGGAAACCATCAATCATGTGAGCTCAGGCTCCTAGCAGAGAAAACTGGGCCACGTAGCTCGAAACTTCTGCCTTGGATTTTCCCTTCTTGGTTATGAGCGCCTCTCAGTCAGTTTTGATAAAGGTCAGAATAAGATTGTATGGCATAATAAACTGCTTCTGATACTGTGAAGCTACAAGCTTGCGGTAAGATGGCCAAGAGCCCTGTCAGAGCAGGAAGCGTTTGTTTGGATCAGAAAGCCTTCCTCCCTGTGGCTGCTGTTTTACCGCTCCTGAGGCGTTAGGATACTGAGATATCCTTGTCTGGGAGTCATAAGGAATGTCTGCTCCCTTAGCTTTCACTAATCCTTAAAATTTTTGTGGCATTAACAGAAAGAGATTTGGCCTTAAAAAAGTAAAAACGGTTTGCTCCCAAAGGCAATAAGGACTTTCATCATTAAACAGCATGTAGCAATGTAAATGACAGAGCAGTAGCAGCGCAGGAGCCTTAAAGGCATTTTCGCAATTTCCAAATCTTGAAGAGTACACTGGCCTTGCTGTGGTCACGTTGACTTATGGGTAGGGCCTGGAATTTGCCAATCTCCAACACTGTTTGTTGAAGCGCCACCAAGCCGGCTGATTCCGACTTCCCCTGTTTTCCTGAGCATACGAACCGCTCCAGGGGTTACATCAGCTAGAAGCTAGGCGCAGCCCAGGTGGAGCGAAGGGGAGGCCACTGCAGCCGTTGGATGCCTCACTGACACCAACACGAATTTGGCCCCCTCCCGGTTCTTGTTCTTCTGGGATTCAGCCCAAGCTACCACCTTGAACCTACAGGGGCCAGGCTAGAGCTACGCTTCCTCGGGGTCCTGGCTGGCTGCCCCGCAGATCGCTGGGCGCCGGGAGGTCTGTAGCGTGGGCGAGTCCAGGGGCGGGGCGAGTGCGGGAGTGGGCAGGAGCGTGGGCGGAGCTCCGCCCACGCCCGCCCGGCGCACCGCCTGCGGGGCGGTGACTGGCCCAGCTGCTCCGCTTCCCCACCGCCCCGCAGGCCCCGAGCCCTCGAATTCCCAGCGCTGCCGGCTCCCGAGTGCCGGTGTGCCAGCTGTGTGAGATGACGCTCAAGGCCAGCGAGGGCGAGGGTGGGGGCAGCATGCGCACGGCCCTCTCTGACCTCTACCTGGAGCACTTGCTGCAGAAACGTAGCCGGCCGGAGGTGAGCGGGCCCACCAGGTCCCCAGGGTGCTCCAGGCCCCACCGCCACCCCGAGACATTCCCGGTCCGCGGCCTCATCCCCTGTGGGGATCTGCCCCCAGGGGCCCTGTTCTTTGGGGTCCTGGCCCAGGGGTGGAGGCCGCTGCAGGCTGACGGGTGGGGACCGGGTGAGCTCGCCGCACGGTTCGTGCCGGGCGCCGGGTGCTGCACTGAGCAGCCCTTGTAAATGGAAATCAGGAGAGGCCGCGGCCCGGACAGAGCGCTTAGTAAGGTCAAGGAAAACTTCTTCCTAGACGGAAGTCGGAGTAGCAGACTTTAAGGAACACACCCAGGAATAGGTCTGCCTAGTGGTTGAAGTGCTTGTGTTTGGGTCAGCAGAAATACTTGTGAAAGCCAACTTCAGGCTGTACAGAACTCACTCACTGTCCCTCTGCATTTAGGCAGGTTCCCTTGCGCTATGCGGCAGAAAGGGTGGCTTGTGTGTATTTGTGGGTGGGGGAAAGGAATCCAAGTATTTTGGAGGTAATTCTTTCCTCCCATTTCCAGTGATGGACGATAAATTGCTATTAACCTCTGTTGTCGAAGATACCCTGAGGATTAGGTATCTTTTCATACCTGGCAAGTCTCCCAATCTCAGTGCTTTACAACAGTGAGCATTTTCACGTTATTTCTCATACTTCTCCTTGTGGATTGAGCCTAGCAAGGGTTGTCACTCGGGGTTTCTCACTCAGGGGGACAGCCACAGGGATACTCATTGGTGTGGAGGTTGGTGCTGGCTCTCGTTTGCAGCCATTAGCCAGAATATCAACCAGCAGCCTCTCCGTGGTGCCTTAGTTTACCTCACAGCACACTGTTCAGGTACCAAGGAGTGAAGATCCAGAGAAAGAAAGAAAGCAAGAGAGAGTGTGCCAGACAGAAGCTGTGCTACCTTCGAAGACACAGGCTCAGAAGTCATGGCATGAATCTCTTTCCTAGACTGCAAAGTCTTCCAAGGCAGGGATGTTAAACACGCTTTTCTTTAAATACCCAATAAGTGGGTCCTCAGAAAGGTTTGCTGGGCTCCTGTGGCTCAAAGGAGTAGGGCGCCGGTCCCATATGCTGGAGGGTTCAAACCCAGCCCCAGCCAAAAACCGCAAAAAAGAAAAGAAAAGAAATGTTTGCTGATTTAATAAATGACTAAGTATTTACAATAATCCTCTCATTTCACAGATAAGGAAACTGATGATCTGGAAGGTAAATCAAACAGGAGCACCATAGACATCTTTTGCCTGGGTGGCTCAGGGAAACAACTGGGCATCTGAACAGAGCTAGATTTTTTTATCTACAGAGTCAAAGATCAGTGTATTTTCTGCTTCACTACTTTGCCTCTCTTTTATATACCACTCAGTGAAGTGTTCACATTCGTCTGTCATTTCTAATCATAATTTCAATAATCTGGGTTTAAATGAGTGCAGAAACGACATATTGTTGTACAAAGGACAACACAAAATTGAAGGTTACGCAGTGGAATTAGAGCTAGAAGAGAAACAAGGTCTAAAACTACTTGATTCCCCATAAGCATGCACGTGTCAATTTTTTTTCTTCCCTACAATCAGTCCTCACTTGATGGAGCTTTAACTGTTTTTTGGTTTTTTTTTTTTAAACTATTTGAATTTATTTTTGGCAGTTTTATTGAGATATGATTGACATACCATGGAATCATGAATTTTAATTGTTGAATTTGATCACACTTGACAAATGTATATAGTCAGGTAACCACCACCACAATCATGACAGAATAAACACATGCATGGTTCCAGAAAATTCCCTCCTCCCTCTTTGCAGTCAGTCTATTTTACCCACCTGGAGCCTGGCAACCACTGATCACTATAGATTTACCTTTTCTAGAATTTTATATAAATACAATTACAGAGTATTAATATTCTGAGTCTGTTCTTCTTTCACTTAGCACAACCTGACACTGTAAACCTATTTGTTTTTGTCCCTTATGAGCATGCTAGAAAGAAGGTGTTGCCTTCTGGAAGAGAGGCCCCATCGCTACCAGAGTTAGGTTGTGGGTATGCCCTGTGAGTAAATAGCAGTTTTTGTGGGGCTGTGAGTTTATACTGTAAGATTGGATATAATCTGTTTTGGTTTTATTAAAAGATTTGAAGAAGATGGAATAAGAAAACTTTCTAACTCCCTAAATGAAATAGCAATCACATCTGTCGAGGTGAAAGAATGTCTGAGGGAGAAACTTAATATGATAAGGGGTGGCTTGACCCCACCAATCATCAAATCTTATTTCTGAAGGTTCCCCTTTTCTCTGGGACTCTTACCAGTCTTTGCTGCAACACCAGGCTCTGCCTTTCACTTGTGTGGTTTTGGGTGACCTGCTGAAACTCTCTGCCATAGGTCTCTTGTCTCCCTATGAAACTGGCAAGTTCAAAGGTTTGTGGTGATGTTTATGTGAGAGAGTATTTGTCAGGCACATTAAGCCATGCTGGACGTGCAGGGTAATGGCCCAACATCTCACTAAGAGCTGTCTGTTGGCTCCACGCCTGTGGCTCAAGCGGCTAAGACGCTGGCCACATGCACCTGAGCTGGCGGGTTCAAATCTAGCCCTGGCCCACCAAACAACGATAGCTGCAACCAAAAATAGCTGGGTGTTATGGCGGGTGCCTGAGGCAGGAGAATCGCTTGAGCCCAGGAGTTGGAGGTTGCTGTGAGCTGTGATGTCATATTACTCTACTTGGGGCAACAGCTTGAGGCTCTGTCTCAAAAAAAAAAAAAAAAAAGAGTTGTCTTTCTAGGACAGCAGTTCTCAACCTGTGTGTTGCAACCCACAGGAACTGTGTGATAGGGCTGCTACTTTAGGAAGGTTGAGAACCACTAGTCCAAGAGTACAGAAAGTTTTCATGTAGGCTGGGCACAGGGATTCACACCTGTAATCCTAGCACTCTGGGAGGCTAAGGCGAGTGGATTGCTTGAGCTCATGAGTTTGAGACCAGAGCAAAAGCAAGACCCTGTCTGTACTAAAAAAATAGAAAAACTAAGGCAAGAGGATTACTTGAGCCTGAGTTGGAGGTTGCTATGAGCTGTGACGCCATAATACTCTACCCCGAGTGACAGCTTGAGACCTGTCTCAAAAAAAAAAAAAAAAAAGGCAAACACTAAGTGTTCATGTAGTGCAAATATAAGAAGCAAGAAAACCCGCAATACATGTTAAAAACAGGAAAACCCGCAATACATGTTAAAAACAGGAAAACCCGCAATACATGTTAAAAGCAGAAAGTTGTTGGCTTCAATAGACATAAAATTATTTAGCTAAAAACTTCATTAACAGGTATCACTTTCTTTTTTCTCTTTTTCTTTCTTTCTTTTGAGACAGAGTCTTTGTTGCCCTCAGTAGAGTGCTATGGTGTCACAGCTCACAGCAACTTCCAGCTCTTGGGCTTAGGCAGTTCTCCTACCTCAGTCTCCCGAGCAGCTGGGACTACAGGCACCTGCCACAATGCCTGGCTATTTTTTGTTGCAGTTTGGCCGTGGCTGGGTTTGAACCCACCACCCTCAGTATGTGGGGCCGGTGCCCTTCTGAGCACAGGTACTACCCTAAAGGTATCACTTTCTATAAAAGTACTAAAGATTCAAAACACAAAGTTTCACTTCTTTTTTTTTTTTTTTTT